CCATTCTGTTATTTTGTTCTTTGGTTTATTTTTCATTATACTCACGCAGTCTTTAGTTACTCTCCGTTGCCCCCTAGTGCTTATTTGGCTTCCTTCTAGTTCCACTCACACCTGCTCCATATTCAGCTCATTAGTCCATCCTGTGTTCTGTTCCCCTTATACACTGCAAAAACGATCTAGAAATGATTAAAAATGTCTTAAACCAATTGTATTTACCATTACTGTGAGATGATCTGCTAATGGAATTCATATTTTTCAAAAAAATTTAATCTAAAAGATATTTTTTCTTAAAATAAGTGCCTTTTTTCTTGATTAGAGGAAACTGAGACGCTTTGTTAATGGAGCAAGACAATTTACATCTCAAGGCGCTATTCAGTTCACCAGATCATCCAGTCAGATTGATTCAAAGTTTTCTATCTAAGGAAAATCAGCTGATTGCATCGACTCATTGACTCTTCAGCAATCCCTCACACTAAGCATGCTTGCAGCGACAGTGGAGAGGAAAAACTCCATTGAACAGGAAGAAACCTCCAGCAGAACCAGACTCAGTGTGAGCGGCCATCTGCTGAGGCCCACTGGGGTTCAAGGAGACAGAAGCAGACATAGAAAAAGAAGCATAGATGCTAAAGGCAACTGTCAACCAGCTCCACAGGCGGCCCCGTCCAGAATAATTAGGTTCCTCTGCCTCCCAGGGGCCTGAAACTGATGGTGGAAAGTAGAAAGCGAAATGAAAATGGTGATGAAAGAGGAAGCAGAGTCCTAGGTGATAATTGGCCATGGTAGAGGCAGAGGCATGCTTAGGGCTGACAGCATTAGAGGGTGATTGGATGACAATAAGCTTGAATTAAGCCTTCCCGTTTGTATTTAAGCTTACTTTAATCTAAATGTATTTAAAAATAAATATAATTACTTCACATCATATCTAGTAATATATATCTAAAGGAAGTCACCAGTCTGTTGCATTGTTATTTTTGGGTCAAAAGCTGAAATACTGACATAGGTGACAAAGTGACCATAATATGACTCATTAGCACGTTAGCTCTGCATCATAAACAGCTCATCTTTATCAGGATTTAATCGCCTCTATTGGGAAAATAAAGATTCAACAAACAAAGACAGAGAGGAAATAAGTCCTAGATAAACAGAGAGCTCCTTTAATTTCCCACCAAACATCATGTTATGGCATTTGGAGATGTTATTACAACAGGCGTGATGTAATCACGGCGGCTAAATCCCCGAGGCAATCAGCAGTGATCTGATGGTCCATAATCTGGACTCTCAAACAAGCTATTGTGCTGAGTGAAAGAGCTGAAGGTCCTCTTTAAAGCCACATGACCAGCAATTCCCCAGCTTTAATACTTTCTGAGAATGATGATGTGATCCATTATCTGGAATATTCTCATGTCCTTTAAAAAAGCTAATTTTTACAGAGCAGTGCATAAAAAAGGGATAAAAAGATGTTCATTTAGACGGAGATCACATGAAGAAGAGCCGAAGGACGAGTCATTTATTATTAACACAGGGCTTTATGAGGTCAGATGAAAACAACGCAGGACTGTCTGCTGTATAACTGCATGCAGAGGAGAGGCTGAAGCTGATTAGTTGGCATCTGGCAGAGAACTATCAGGTAAAACACAGTAAAACAAACCCATAACTGTTGATAAGCAATGAAAGATCCAACACAGGAAGGACGACGGCCATAAACTGAGATTAGGCCCGAATCAGAGGCCGGGAATCAGAGCAGGGGTCGATGTCCAGGGTCCTGATAGGATGAAGTGGTCCATGAAGGACAGGGCAAGGTAAGGCAAGCCCAAAGTCAACAAACAAGAACAATGAGAGATATCTGGACTGGTTCTGTTACTGGTACTAGTGGTTCCTAGAATTTCTAAAAGTAGAATGGGTGGCAGATCAGGCTCCTCTCCTGTGGAACCAACTACCAGTTTTAGTCCGTGAGGCAGACACCCTGTCTACTTTTAAGGCTAGGCTTAAAACTTTCCTTTTTGATAAAGCTTCTAGTTAGAGTGGCTCAGGTTATCCTGAGATATCTCTATAGTTCTGCTGCTATAGGCTTAGACTGCTGGAGGACATAGGGACCCCTTTTTCATCATTCTGCTTCATTCTATCTCTATTCTCCCACTCTGCAGAATCTGTTAGTTCAATCTCTAACGTTCTGCTCTCTCTGCTTTTTCTCATAGTAGCTTCATCTGGTCTGTTCCTGTTTGGCTGTGACTCCATCCTGGAGAGAAATATCAGCTGTGCTGCTGCCATCAATGCCTTTGTTTCTAGATGTTGGAGCTCGGCCTGTTTTCCAGTGTAGTCCTGTTTCTCTGACTGTGACTAACTGGATGTGCTCTCTTCATCCTCTGACATGGGAGCTGGCTCGGAGCTCGTCTGCCTGGCTGTGTGTTTCCTGGACGGGGCCGCCTGTGGAGCTGCTTGACAGTTGCCTTTTGTATCTATGCTTCATTTTCTATGTCTGCTTCTGTCTCCTTGAACCCCAGTGGGCCTCAGCAGATGGCCGCTCACACTGAGCCTGGTTCTGCTGGAGGTTTCTTCCTGTTCAAAGGGAGTTTTTCCTCTCCACTGTCACTACAAGCATGCTTAGTGTGAGGGATTGCTGAAGAGTCAATGAGTCGATGCAATCAGCTGGTTTTCCTTAGATAGAAATTTGTTCTAAGGACAGATTTGATTCAAATTATGCTCAATTTTTTCCAGTGTATTGGGTGATCACACTGCAAAAAATTTGAATCTACTTAAGTCATTTTTTCTTGAACTGAGGACATTTTGCAAATGGAAAAAGACAATTTATATTTAAATTGTTATTTGAAGTGCATTTTCCCTAATTATCTTATTCTAATAGCAAACACACTCATTCCATTGGCAGATCATCTCATTTACCAACTCAAATTAAGGGTAAATACACTTCATTTAAGAAACGTTTACTTATTTCTGGATAATTTTTCCAGTGCAGGGAAACATCTGGATCAGCTCCCCTGAACTCCCCTGTTCCTCCTGATGACCAGAGGCCTCAGCCCCCCCCCCCCGATGGACCCTCCTGTTACCTAACGGCATCCTGTTGGCGTTTACTGACTGGTGTTCAGGTGCTTCCCTCTCTGCAGCTCCACTGAAACAGGAAGCTCAGAGCTACTGGTCTTCTGCTTTACTTCAGCTTTAGAAATCTACCACTTCCTTTGCTAATCGGTGTCGACAGCAGGTTCCCAGTTCCTCCTAAACGACCACCTGGCTCCCTTAACGAAGCAGCTTATGGCGGCATGACGCATCAGACCCATCTTCTCTCAGTGAGTGTCAGAAATGTTCTGGTTTTTATTATCTATAGGTTTGGTTCTGGTTTTGCAGATTGAACATAGATCAGCAGGTTAACAGTTTGCTGCTTTAAAACGTTCTGATTCCTCCTGAGCTGTTTGCTTTTTTCTGCATTAATTGGAGCCTTTAATTGAGCTTCAGTTGGTTTCCAGTTGAATGTTCTGACCTTACGTCTTTGTTAACGATTACTGGTTTTAATTTGTAGGAGTAAACTAATTCAGCCCGGTGTTGTTCCCTCTGAATGGAGCCCTCTGGGGGCCCTCTGGGGCCCCTACTTCCTGGTGGCTCCTTATAGAGTCATTGCTGGCTTATTTTGCGACATTAAATTACATCTTTGCCGCCCTTTCTTAGACCATTGAAGTAGTTATTACCTCCATTGAAACAGCTTTGCTTTGGATTGTTGCCATGGCGACCAGGTTCCAGCATGAACAAAAGAGGATGATAGCTGAAGTACTGTGCAGTGGGAAAGTACCTGCCTCGCATACTTCCTCTGGTTTTCCTTTTTTCTTTTCAAACTGGAAAACATCAATAAAAAGATCTCTTTTTTTTCTTAAAAGAAGTGCATTTGTCCTTGAATGGAGGAGATAAAAGAGACATTTTGCCAATGGAAGAAGACAATTTACATTAAAAATTGGAAAACACAATTGCATTGTCTTATTTGAAGTGCATTTTGTCTAATTATCTTATTTTAAGAGTAAAAACACTCATTCCATTAGCAAACTAGCTCATTAACCGTCCCAAATTAAGAATGATTTAAAACATTTTTATTGTTTTTCCAGTGCAGGCATCAATGTTTTAGATCATCATCAGATTTTAATGAGACAAAGACAACCTGAGTGAGAAAAGGTTTATTTCAAAGCACGAACTTGTTTATTATGAGCAGAAACCTTTCCAAGCCAACCTGACCCTCACAGAATAACAAAAAAAACGCTTTCTTTCTCAGAGGGATTAAGCCACTGGATAGAAACAACATCTGTTGGATTTAAGACCAGACTTTGACTAGACCGCTCCAACACCTGTATGCACTTCAGCTTAAAGGAAAAGTCCGGTCAGCAAGGAATACCCAATGGATCATTATTTATACCTAAAACTAATACGACACAACAACAGGCCCGTAAGCAACATTATCTGGGTGGGCCCCATATGAACCACAACATTTTCTGTTTTTCCAGCAGCTCTTCTTTCCTTTACCTTTTCTAAAATCCGCTTAAGTTCCTCCTTTTGGTATCCATGGTCGCTAACACATTGTACGTAACGGTTATGGTTTTAATCTATGCTCTGGATTACCCATAATTCCAATCTGTCTGTTGCATTGTTATTTTTGGATCAAAGGCTGAAATATTGACATAGGTGATAAAGTGACCATAATCTGAATCATTAGCATGTTAGCTCTGCATCATAAACGGCTCATCTTTATCAGGATTTAATAGCCTCTAAATTATCAAACAACATGACACAGTTCTAGTGGTTTTGTAAGTTTTGTGATAATTATCTAATTCTATGTTTGTATTTTGTGGCCTTAGACACAAAAAATGACTTTTTCCCATTTTGATTTAAATGTTTCATTATTCTTTAAACATTGAAGCTGAGTATTCAGTAACCTGTATGTTTAAATCTATTAAATGCAGTGAAATAGAGTCAGCTTCTATTCAGTCAACAGGTCGAGGTTTTAAAAAGTCTGCAGTGACTTTCTGAATGATGAAAATTTGAGCCATCAATCTTCAGTCTGTTAGGAAACAGCCGCTTCCCGTTTGCCGCTGAGCTGAAGGTATAAATGAGCCCAGGGCCCTCAGCGCTCCTCATTCTCCTCCTTCACACTTTGGCATCAGCGTTCGCTCATCATGGGGAACTTCGTCGCCAATGAGGGACTCTCCATCTTTGTCATCGTGAGCACATCACATATTTCTGTCATTTCTTATTTAAAACAACTTCTTTTCAGATACAGAATGAATTTATGATGAAAATTCTGATTTGTTTTTTTCATTTTTGGCATTTTGATCATTTTTTCTCCAATATTTGTGTTTTTAATTCCACTTTAATCCAGCTTGTCTGGCTGGGAATCAACGCCTTCCTGTTCGTCCATTTCTACATGGCCTTCCTGGTGGATCGCTGGTTCTACACCAGGGTGCTGCTCGGGGTGAGTCCACTTTCTCACCTAAAACAGTCATTGCAATCAGCTTTAAAGGTCACACTGAAAAAAATAGAAATCTAGATAAATGATTTATTCTTAAAATAAGAGCATTTGTTCTTGGATTGACGACGTAAAAGAGACATTTTGCAAACTGAACAAGACAATTTATATTTAAAATAAGAAAACACAATTGCATTGTCTTATTTCTAGTGCATTTTATCTAATTATCTTATTTAAAGAGTAAAAATATTCATCCCATTAGCAAATAATCTCATTTACCTCCTCAAATTAAGGGTAAATACACTTAATTTAAGACAATTTTACTTATTTCTAGATCGTTTTTCCAGTGCAGACCATTAAAGAACTTCTTTACACTGGAAAAACGATCTAGAAATAGGAAAACGTTCATCAAATTAAGTGTATTTACCTTAATTTGAGGAGGTAAATTAGGTACTTTGCCAATAAAATGAGTATTTTTACAGTTTAAAAAATAGATTTAGATTTTTTCTAGTGTAGAATTTAAACGCTTCCAAAAGCAGGAGCCGGTCTTTTTCATTTCCTCAAAACGCAGCTGCCGCCTAAACTTCTCAACCTCAGTGTCAAACCTGTGGGTCCACCCACGTCTTCGGCTCCTTCCTCTTTTAGCGAACTGGTCATCTGGAAAAAGAAAAAAAAGCAAAAATGATGAAGCTCCAGAGAGAAAGTTCAATTACACCAATAGAATATGAAGCCAAATAGACACGTTAGGCTTCACACTGGAAAAATTAACATATATTTAGGCATTTTTTCTTGAATTAAGTAGATAAGTGAGACACTTTGCCAATGGAACAAGACAATTTAGATTTAAAATAAGAAAAATCAGTCACATTGTCTTATTTCAAGTGCATTTTCTCTAATTATCTTATTTTAAGAGCAAAAGTATTCGTCCCATTGGTAAATCATCTAATTTACCTGCTCAAATTAAGGGTAAATACACTTAATTTAAGAAATTCATACTTATTTCTAGATAGTTTTTTGCCAGTGCAGGCAGCAGGAAGGAAAATAGGCATTTAAAATCCAGAGGAATCTAGAGTTTTAGAAACAAAAATGGAGCTTTTTAGATTTTCTTCTAATTTCCACAGTATTAAAGATAAATATGCATAAATTTAACCTCGTTAGTATCTAGTGAAACATCTGAACCACGGTTCAACCTCAACCACTCGGTCTATGCAGCCATCATAAAGCGTGTGGTTCCATATCTAACCACTCTTCCTTACAGTGGGCTGCACCAGTTCCATTGGCCCACAGCATGATGGGTCACCCCTATGCTTCAGTTAAACACACTGGAAAAAGTAAAAATATAGATACATTTTTTATTTATTTATTTATTTATTTCAAATAAGTGTATTAGTTCTTGGATTGAGGAGATAAAAGAGACATTTTGCCAATGGAACAAGACTATTTACATTTACAAGAAAACACAATTGCATTGTCTTATTTCTAGTGCATTTTATCTAATTATCTTATTTTAAGGGTAAAAATACTCATTCCATTCACAAATCATCTCATTTACTTTCTCGGTTATTTCTAGATTGTTTTTCCAGTGTATATTTTACATTTGGTCCAAATTTGGCACACACTGCAAAAACGATCGAGTATTTTTACCCTTAAAATAAAATAATTAGATAATATGCACTTGAAATCAGACAATGCAATTGTTTTTTTTTTTTTCTCATTTTAAATGTAAATTGTCTTGTTCCATTGGCAAAGTGTCTAACTTACCTCCTCGATTCGAGAAAAAAAAATGCCCTTATTGTAGGTAAAAATGACTTTAGATTTAGATTTTTTTGCAGTGCAATTTGCTGAATGGACCTTTTTACATTCAGAAAGGGTCTTAGTTTCACAAAGCTTATGGTCAGAGATCTGAATTTTTACACATTTGCTGTCCACAAGATGAAGAAAGTATTAAGTGGGAGAGGTCAACTATAAATTATACAAAAGAAATTATAGGACATTTTTAGTTATTTCTAGATCGTTTTTCCAGTGCATGCACTTATTTTAGCTAAACCGGAAAAACAATCTAGAAATAAGTTAAAATGTCTTAAATTAAGTGTATTTACCCTTAATTTCAGTAGGTAAATTAGATAGTTTGCCAATGGAATTCGAATTTTTACTCTTAAAATAAGATAATTAGATAAAATACACTTGAAATAAGACAATGCAATTGTGTTTTCTTATTTTAAGTGTAATTTTTTTTTTCCATTAGCAAAATGCCTCTTTTACCTCCTCAATCCAAGAACAAATGCACTTATTTTAAGAAAAATCTACTCTAGATTTAGATTTTTTCCAATGTAAACGTTTGTCGTCACATCGATGACAATAAGAAGCTGCACGCTGCAGTCCAGAGGAGCAGGGTCTGCTTCTTAATCAAGTGGCTTTGATGTGAATGTTTTTTTTTTTCATGTGATGACAGGAGGTAACATTTTTACTGCTTTAGTGTTTATCGCCTAATTTCTAGTTGTTAAAAACCACTTTACTGCCAGAGACTGGAGGAAGTGCAGCTGACGTGCAGATTAAAGCTGCGTTCTGCTCAGTAGAAGGAAAAACACTGTTCATGTTAATGTATGCATTAACTTTATCCCTTTGACCTGCAGCAAGCGTTGTCATGGGCGAGAGCTCCTGCTGCCTGCCTCAACTTTAACTGCATGCTGATCCTGCTGCCCGTCTGCAGGAACCTGCTGTCCTTGCTCCGAGGCTCCATCCAGGTGTCAACTTTGAAACACACTCGGCTTTTTACGCTCCAGTCAGCCGGCTGGTGTGTGATCGTTGTTTTGTTCTGTTTCGTTCTCAGTGCTGTAGCCGGACTGCAGCTCGGCAGCTCGACCGAAACCTGACTTTTCACAAACTAGTGGCCTACATGATTGCCTTTCATACAGGTACAGTTCTGAGAATCTTCACGACTGAAGGAACAAAAATTAACAACTGTATGTCAGGGTTTTAGAAATAAAATTACATTTTCATATATATATATATATATATATATATATATATATATATATATATATATATTTTTTTTTATAGGGTTAAGAACAAAAAAATGAGGAGACCAAAAACACAGCCAAGTGGTGCTCCACCGAAAGAGATTAGTTATTTTTGCATAAAGCAACAAAATTAACTACTATAAGTCAGGGTTTTAGAAGTAAAGTTACATTTTATCTAATATTTATTTTTAATTGGGTTGAGAAAATTTTTTAAAAAATAAGGGGACCAAATACACGACCAGGTGGTGCTCCACTGAAAGAGATTTTTTTTTTTTCCACAAAGACACAAAAATTTACTACTGTATATCAGGGTTTTAGAAATAAAGTAAAACTTTATTTAATATTATTATTATTTTTATTTATTATATTTTATTGGGTTGAGAAAAAATAAATAAATAAGGGGACCAAATACACGACGACCAAGTGGTACTCCACTGAAAAACATTATTTATTTTTGCATAAAGCAACAAAAATTAACTACTATATTTCAGGGTTTTAGAAGTAAAGTTACATTTTATCTAATATTTATCTTTAATTGGGTTGAGAAAAAAATAAAAAAATAAGGGGACCAAATACACAACCAGGTGGTACTCCACTGAAAGAGGTTTTTAAACTTTCTCAAAGATGCATCCACATCCAGCTTTTTTGTAAATAAAATTTTTTTTTTTTCAACAAATGTAGCAGAAATTTTAATTTAATTTAACAGCTGAAGAACAGGTTACTTTATTACACATTTATCATCATTACTTTTTTTTTGCAGCTGTTCACATTGTCGCGCATTTGTTCAACTTTGAGTTTTTCATGAACGCCCAGCTGAATCGCAACGACAGCCACCTTCCCTTCATCCTGTCTGAAATCGGCACCAGAGACAACGCCTCCTTCCTGAACCCCATAAGGAGCAATGAGACGGTAGGGCACGGTTCCCCTGGCGACAGCAACTCCTTTCTGTTTGCGGTTTAGTCATAGAGGGGCAAACCTAGAAGCTTTCCAGCGTTGCTAAATGTTGAGAAATCTCAACTCTGTTGCAAAATCACGCCTTAGTGAGAAACAATACAGAAGTTATATGAAGTAACACTTCCTCTTTGAGATAATTGCCTTCGGTCATTAAGCAAACTTCTTTTTTTAAATTCTCGTAATTCTTTTGAAAAGCCGTGACACATTGATGACAAATGCATCTTTTTTTTCGGTCATGGAAACATGTAAAATACTTTCTCATGACTTTCCTTTGAACGCCAACCTTGAGGTGTTCTGGTAAATGCATCATCTCTCCATCTGTTTTCCATTGCTGTGAGTGGTTTCTACAGCTTCTTCTGTGCTGAATACCAAATATTTTATTCTTCACTGTCTTTTAAAAGTAGCGAAAGTCAAAATATGAGTCGTCTATATTGTGGATAAACCTCTATGGTATTTCTAGATGGAGAATGAGCTACACACAGATTTAAAGCCCCATTGGTTGGTTTCCAGTTGGATTAACTTTTAAACGCTCTTCGTTTGTTTCAAAAGCAACCATTCCAGTTTTATTTAGTTGAGCTGAAGAATTTCAAAAACAATCGATTGGATTTGTGTCCAAGTCGGAAGATGTTTTGCTTCCCATCCAGGTAGCTTTTTCAATTCAAAATGGCAGAAATAGGGTTGAGTTCGAGGCTTTATACAGTAGCCCAACAAAGCCTTGTTTTGCAGTGGCGGTTCTAGACAAAATGTACCAGGGGGCCAGGAGGGATTCAAATAAATTAAGAGAGCTGCATGAAGTAATAGAATAGACATCCATTATCTGTTCTAGGTTGTGTCCCTCTCTTCTTGTCCCTTTTCTTCTTGTTTTCCTCTCTATGTTTTGTACTCAGCTGACTTTTCATGCTGTCTCTAAAGGAATGAAAGATTTTTTCCAAGCACTAAGCTCACTTAGCTGATTGCTCTTCCTGTGTTTCCAAAAAGGCCAAAGTAAATAACCCAGTCCTTCTTTTCACTGTAGACAAGCCATGATCTGCTTATCTGTTCTCCATTTTTCATTTGGATGAAATAATAGCTGCATGAATCATGACAGCAGACAAGATAGAGGAGAGCAGGAGGCGGGGTTACCAATCTACTCGCTCTGGAGAGCAGAGTTCGCTGCTTTTAGATGTTGTCTCCAAAGTCTCCAGTTGCAGAAAAAAGTCTCTAGATTTGGCGCTAGGAGCTTTTTAGAAATCAAAGTGCTAGAGGGGTCTGAAAAGTGGCTAAATATAGCGACTAAAGCGCTAAGTTGGCAACACTGCTCTTTGCATGGTTTGTTTTCAAATGGTTTGCTGCTGTCTGTTTGGACCTTTCTGAACATGTGCAGCAAATGGACTGATCCAATATGGTGGACACTGAAGGGGGGGGCTGACACATTTAATATCATAAGCGTTCTGATGGCATTTTAGCGAAACAATTTTTATCAAAAACTTAATTAATGTGCACAAAGTACAGGACTAGTTGTTTTAACCATATGTGTAAAGGATTTCTTTACGGGCCCCTAGGAACTTGGGGCCTCTAGTTTTGCCTAATGATAAATCCCCACCAACTGTATGCATCACTAGTGCCAGGCAGTTACCGAGCACAGGTTAGTGACCTCTATCACACTCTGACCTTCACTCACTGGAGCGACGCTCCATCAGCGGATCCATGAACCGCCTTGAAACTCCATCACTGCACTGCTGACACCGACTCGTCCTTCCTCTGGAGCCTGTTTCACAGGCAGCAGCTCTTTAAAAAAACATTTCCATCCATTATTAAAGGACCAACCCCTGATATAGAGATGGCGGGATCAAATAGTGTGGAAAGCAGTCGTCTATCCTGATGGCTCCCAAACCTGAGCTTAGGTTGGAAATCGCTCAATGCTGGGTCCTGAAATCTCAATCAAGTTGATGATATTTTTACTCTGATTACCATAAAAGATGTACATTGTAGCGTTGAAAGATGAAACACAGCATCCAGGATGTTTGTGAAATTAAATTGAGTCCTAGTTTCCTGCCAGAAGCTACGGTAGAAAGTTTCCCACGGAAAGCCTCATAAGAACCATTAAACCATCCCTCATTCTTTAAACTGGGAGCCGATTCCAACCAAAGCCCCTCTTTTCCCCTTCAGCTTCGACATCAAAGCTTTGTTCATCCCCCGACCTCAGGACATTCAGCCCTCAGTCCACCTTAAATCCACACATAGCTCTAAAATCCCATTGGATCTGCTCCTAAAGCCGCCGCCCCTGAGATACACAGACTCCAATGTTCTTTGGGCTTTTTTACGATGTTGTGAAACATGGATGATGAAATCCACAAATCTTTTTGTTATTGAACTCCTGAGGTTGACCTCATCTGTCTGAAACTCCCCGCCTTCAATATGCTGGTGAAGATTCTCAGTCATCCAGGTCACAGTCATTCTAAAAAAAGTTAAAAAACAATCCACTGGACTTTGTTCCCAAGTTTGAAGATATTCTGCTTCCCATCAATTAAGCTTTTTCACTTCGAAATGGCAATTTAAACTTTTTTGGAAACTTCAACCATCTGGTGTCATTAAACCCTGAAGCAGAAGCTGTCTTCTAGTAAAACACCTCATGGTTCAGTAAAAACAATCTCTACTGAACTAAAAACTATTACAAATGTCTGGTTTTAGAAGCAGTTCATGCATCACCTAAACAATAATTCACTTATTTCTGTTAGTTAAGTCATCTGGGGAGCAACTCAAATGCAGAAAGTAGAACTCCTTTTGGTTTTTCTGTCTCTAAAATGAGTCTAAAGTTTTATTTCTTGTTGCACCTAATGGTTGTTAAAGCTAGAATATAGACCCAACTGGGCCTCCTAATCAAAGACATAAGAGGAACTATATCCTGACATAATTCCGTTTGCTAAATGAGGGAAGTTAGTCAACAATTCTGACCGGCAAGAGGAGGAAGGTTACAGTAGAAATAAATCAGGAACTGTGGCTCCACCACCTCCATGTTGTTTGAACTGACTGGACATTATGAGTTATGAAAACAGTAAAAACGTCCTTCTTTGCTGCAGAACCCCACCATCGTCATGTTCACCACCATCGCCGGGCTGACGGGCGTGGCCATCACCTTGGCTCTCATCCTCATCATCACCTCGTCCATGGAGGTCATTCGCAGGTCCTACTTTGAGGTGTTCTGGTACACGCATCATCTTTTCATCATCTTCTTTATCGGCCTGGTGTTCCATGGCTACGGGTAAGATCAAAAACCTACAGAACTTTCTAGACCTAAGAAATACTCTTGACTCTTGTTTTTAAACACCCCTAAGATGGTTAGTGGTAGTCCGGGATTGGACTGTTACACAGCAGAATCAAATAGCGAAAACTTTTAAAGGAAGTCCTCTGGTAGGATCCAGACTGTCATTGGTGGGATGACGCCTGCTTTGGCACATCTCTAACCTGGTCGGAGTCTCCGAGGGTGACTAATGACAGCAAGGCCATCTAGACCTAGGCTGTTTCTCAATTCACAAGAAAGCAAGCACGGAATCGTGTCATCACCAAATATGTTCTTGAGAAGAACACAGGAAAGTATGGACTCTGGGAGAACGGGAGTACGCAGCATAAATACGGGTCAAATGGAACAGAAGCGTACTAGTGACATCACCACACGCTCGGCTCGTCTGGAGCTGCATTTCAACTCATGCTATTAATAGTTTTTAGATAAGAAATTCTTACATCTTTGTATTTATTGGAGGGATAATAATTAAAAAAGTCAGATGAACACAAATCAAATGAACATTTTGCCAAATAAAAGAAAACACTTGCCATAAGAGCCAGCGGTAGTTCACACACAGCTCTGCAGAGAGAGGGCTGCTGCAGACGGTTTAACGTTAGCCCTCGCTGCTGCAGACGGTTTAACGTTAGCTCTGGCTGCAGCAGATGGGCTAATATTAGCGCTGTCTGCTGCAGATGGGCTAACGTTAGCCCTGGCTGCAGCAGACGGGCTAACGTTAGCCCTCGCTGCTGCAGACGGTTTAACGTTAGCTCTGGTTGCAGCAGATGGGCTAACGTTAGCGCTGTCTGCCGCAGATGGGCTAAAAGTATAATGTTCTCACCTTAAATGAGAACTTAATAACCTGGAAGCCGCTGCTGCTGCAGTGCATGCTGGGACAGCTGTCAATCTCATAAACGGACAAGTCTGCTCTAATGCATGCTGGGTAAAGAGGGAGGGGCGAGAACAACAGAAATCAAACCTGAACAGAACCAGAAAAGCAGATCATAACAGAAAAGTTCTTCGCATTATTTAGTTTCAGACTTTGAACCATTCATTGGGGACCAACAAGATGTTAGGTAATAAGTAATGCTGCTTGTCGGTGATTTCCTCTTTAGATTCAACTCTTTCAGCTCGTTATGTTGTTGAGGTCACATCACAAGTCCTGTTTAGTTGTTGAAGGCCATCCCCTTTTGGATGTCTGAGACTCTGACATATCTTCTTGATGTGCAAACCTGATTTTCAACCAAACATCTGAATAAAGTCCTGTTGTCTTAAGACGCCTTTGCTTCTATCATTTGGACTTACCTCTGAGTTGTACTGATGTCTTTTGGTTCTTGAGTTAATTGGTAAAAAAGTCTGAAGGAACTTGGGATTGAAGACAAAGTTAATGAATCTTTAACTCTGCTTAGAAGCTTCCTGGTAATGTTTGGATCTAAACCTTTACTCCTCTGATAAAATGTACCAAAAAACGAGAATGAAAGTCTTTAAGCACCGTTAGAATGATCATAACTTGATAATTATTTTTGTGCTGTTTACATGTTAAATATTGAGCCCATTGTGTTTCTGACTGCAGACGAATTGTCCGGGGACAGACTTCGAACAGCCTCCAGACGAACAATCCCGTCGTCTGCGCCAAAAGATTCGAGGACTGGGGTAAAAACGAGTCCGGCTGCGCCGTCCCCGTGTTTGCAGGAAACCCACCTGGGGTGAGGAACTGATGCAGGCCCGGCAGCGAGGTGATCTGAAGAAAGTTCAGATCTTTACCTGAAACCTTTTGCTCTCCTCAGACGTGGAAGTGGGTGGTGGGCCCGATGATCCTGTACGTCTGCGAGAGGATCGTCCGCATCTATCGTTCCCATCAGAAAGTGGTCATCACCAAGGTGTGCTTCAGTCTGCAAGGGTTTGATCAGGAATGAGGTCCAAACGGGCGGCGCCCTGCTTCCCACAGGACATACCGAGTGTTTACTAAATCATTATGAAGTACCAGCCTTTCATGACATCAAAATATCTTAAATCTTGCTGATATTTCTGATATCTCCAAACGTTTCATAGCCTAGTAAACTAGCCCCGCCCGCCAGCAGCCAAAATCATGTTTGCCTCCCATTTCGTCTGGTTTATCTGGCTAAACGTCTCAGGCTTTAGGAACGTCTTTTGTCTAAAGTCAACCCCACAAATATAACTGTCAGATGTAGTTCTGGACTCCGACTTGATCTTTTCTAGAACTTCAACCTGATAATAATAATGCATTTTATTTGAAAGCGCCTTTCTCGGCACTCAAGGACACCGTACAAAATGCATTTAAAGTCGTAGGGAATGCATATGCATGTACTCTTTATCAGACCATATTGTCCCAAAAGTTAGAAAATTTCTATTTAAAAAATAAATCCTGTCTTAAAATCTGTGTTTTTTCCGTTATCTTCTGCAGGCCAGTTAGTTCTAAGTCAGCCTAAACACCTAAATTCGACCAATCATATATCAACGGTCATCTGTCAATCACATTCTTTTGGTCATAGCATTTTGATTTATATGTCGCAGCTAATATACGCAACGGTTGAAATCAGAATCCTTTCCTTTCCCATTGAGTTGCGTCCCAGTGTTCACGGGGATGGACGTCTGTGTCTTCGGCAGGCGTAGAGCTAACAGAACTGGCAGCGTTGCGAGGCAAGGGCTCAAACATGGACGGCTGGAAGCCTTCTACACCAAACCAAGCTTCTGCCGCCCTGGCGTCCTCTTCCATAACATCTTCGTCCCCGCTTTCCTCCTCTAAATAAAAAATGGATGACGGAGGAGACTCATCCACGACCTCCGACACTAAACTCTCCTCCTCTTGCATGTTTCCGCTGTCCATAGCGTTCCTTGACAGCGTCGTTTCTAAGTCACCAATTTAGTGCTACTTGGTCCCAATGGAATTTCCAATTGGGAACCTGCTAGCACTAAGTTGCTAAGTGGTTAGCAAGATGCTACCGAGAAACCAGCTACAATCAAACTTGCTTGCGAACAATCCCGCCCCCTTGATAATCGACCAATCACATTCACTTTATTCATTCGTGTGAAGTCGTGCACCACTCGGGAGAATTCGGAAATGTAACGGTTGGAACAGCCGCTTCCCTACGACTTTAAAGAAACATAATGAAGATCAATGAAATAGACAGTGGCAATGGTGATATCAGATAGAAAAGGGAATCTAAACATATATGCTTAAAGGAAAAGTCTGGTCAGCAAGGAATAATCAATGGATCCTTATCTATACCTAAAACTAATACATTCACAGTGATTTAATGAATTTAGCGTTAATGAGTGAGTCCAAAAGCGGCCATTTTTGCCCAACTATAGCAACATCTCCCTCCTGCCATCTTCTGGCAGTGACGTCACGGTGCGGTAAGCCTAGCGCCATTCTCCCCGTTTTACAAGCTAAATCAATGGGAACTACTAGACACATCTGCAAAGTGACCTGAGATGACATTCGTTGTGAATTGACGCTATAGAAATAATATAAAATAATAATTTTTAATCACAAGGACCTGACATTAATCAGACTCGTGACCAACCGGTTAATAGAACACAACGTGTCTCTCTTTCGCTGCTCCGCAGGTGGTGATGCACCCCTCCAAGACCCTGGAGCTGCAGATGAAGAAGAAGGGCTTTAAAATGGAGGTGGGACAGTACGTCTTCATCCAGTGCCCCTCCGTGTCCAGGCTGGAGTGGCACCCCTTCACCCTGACCTCCGCCCCGGAGGAGGACTACTTCAGCGCCCACATCCGCATCGTCGGGGACTGGACTCAGGCGCTGTACGAGGCCTGCGGAGGAGATAAACCAGAGCAGCAGGAGGCCTGGAAATTGCCCAAGTATGAAGCTGGGAAAATAGTGCTGATATTAGAGCAAACGGCGGGAAATCGCTTCAGCTTTGATCGCTGCTCCTCTGATCAAGCAGAGCTTTGTGAGGCCGACAAAAGGAGCTGCATTCAAAGCTGCTGCCGGGTTATTGTGCGTTTCTGTCTCTCCTCATTTCTAATATGAAGCCATAGAAACCATAGAAACGCAGCAGTGATAGGATCATCTAATGGTGCAGGTTGGACCTTTCAAACACTGACGCATTTCAGGCTGCTTTAAGATATATACTATATACTAACTACACTGGAAAAATTATCTAGAAAGAAATAAAACATTTCCTAAATTAAGTGTATTTACCCTTAATTTGAGTAGGTAGATGAGATAATTTGTCAATGGAATGAGAATATTTACTCTTAAAATAAGATAATTAGATAACATGCACTTGAAATAAGACAATGCAATTGTGTTTTCTTATTTTAAATGTGAATTTTCTTTTTCCATTGGCAAAGTATCTGTTTTACCTCCTCAATTCAATACAAAATGCACTTATTTTAAGAAAAATGACTTAAGTAGTTTTAAATTTAAACATATTGTTTAATAAAACACTGATTAAAGTTTTTCACTCCATTCAAAATTACCCAAAATCCAAAAGGGTCAAATATTAATGTTACATATTAAGAATATTGTAGTTAAAGAAAATTTTCTAGAAGATCTTTACAGGCTGCTGAAGTCTTTTTTTTTTTATTTATTTTTTTTTTTTTATTAAAATAAGTGCATTTGTTCTTGGATTGAGGAGGTAAAAAAGACATTTTGCCAATGGAACAAGACAATTTACACTTAAAATAAGAAAACACAATTGCATTGTCTTATTTCAAGTGCTTTTTATCTAATTATCTTATTTTAAGAGTAAAAATACTCATTCCATTGGCAAACTAGCTAATTTACCTACTCAAATTAAGGGTAAATACACTTAATTTTAGAAATTTTTACTTGTTTTTAGATCTTCTTGCCAGTGTACATTTTATATTTGGTTCGAATTTGGCACACACTGTAAAAACGATCTAGAAATGAGCAAAAATCCCTTAAATTAAGTGTAATTATCCTTAATTTAAGCAGGTAAATGAGATTATCTGAATGAGTATTTTTACTCTTAAAATAAGATAATTAGATAATATGCACTTGAAACAGGAAAAGGCAATTGTGTTTTCTTATTTTAAATTCCATTGGCAAATTGTCTCACCTCCTCAATTAAAAAAAAATGCAGAAAATGACTTTAAATTTAAATTTTTTGATGTGTAATTGTGCCAAATGGACCTTTTTACATACATAAAGAGTCATAGTTTCAAAATGCTTATGTGCAAAGATCTGAAATTCAACTTTAAATTAGGCAAAAGATATAACATAATAAAAATTGCATTTTTTTTTTTCATTCATTTTTTTTTTTTTTGGACACGATTGAAGTTACACAGCTCTGGTTTGTATAAAACCTACAGAGTCTGTACACATATTTCCAGAATCTAGAAGGTCTTACTCTTTAAATGAGATATATCACAAGCATGTGGGATTTAGAATATCATTTTACTGGCCAATGGCGTTTTTGCTATGAAGTATGTTTGTGCACAGCAATAAAAGTGTGGGTGTTAAGGGGTTAATTACTTTATAAAAGCGCAAACATCCATTATTGTGCATATTTTCAGACATTTTTCCATTTGGATGTCATTATTGCCCTATTTATTTATGAGTTCTTCTCTTTATTCATCGTGCAAAGTTGTAGATTTATAGTAGATGTAACAATTACAAGTAAACCCTCCCCTACCACAGGGGATGAAAATTTAATGAACGAAATGAAAGATTTAAATGGAGCTGCACTAGAAACATTACTCTGAATGCGAGTCATGGGACAATAAGTGACACTGAAACAGTCCTTAGTTTGGTTTAAGACGGTTATAAGGAGCTGATATGAACAAAAAATTAGATTCCCAGACTGGAGAGCGCAAAAAAAAAAGAAGAAAAAGAAATCTATTGAGGTTGAGATGTTCATCAAACCAAACGACTGAAATCTAATGAATAAAAGTTGTTTATCTCAACTTAATTTGCATAAAAATGATTTTTTTTGGCATTCAGGGTTGCCATAGACGGGCCTTTTGGTACGGCCAGCGAGGACGTGTTCCGCTACGAGGTGGTGATGCTGGTGGGAGCAGGAATCGGAGTGACTCCCTTCGCCTCCATCCTCAAGTCTGTGTGGTACAAACACATCCAGAACAACCAGGACGTCTTCACCAAGAAGGTGGGTTTGGGTCTGAACCGTTGAGAAGAAGAGAACAGGGCTGATTCAAAGGAAAGAAACCGATTCTTTTATTAATTTCATGAGTTTTTAATGTGTAGGTAGACCTGGCCGCTCCAGACGGCCTACAGTTAGACCTGGCCGCTCCAGACGGGCTACAGTTAGACCTGGCCGCTCCAGACGGGCTACAGTTAGACCTGGCCGCTCCAGACGGGCTACAGTTAGACCTGGCCGCTCCAGACGGCCTACAGTTAGACCTGGCCGCTCCAGACGGGCTACAGTTAGACCTGGCCGCTCCAGACGGCCTACAGTTAGACCTGGCCGCTCCAGACGGGCTACAGTTAGACCTGGCCGCTCCAGACGGGCTACAGTTAGACCTGGCCGCTCCAGACGGGCTACAGTTAGACCTGGCCGCTCCAGACGGGCTACAGTTAGACCTGGCCGCTCCAGACGGGCTACAGTTAGACCTGGCCGCTCCAGACGGGCTAAAGTTAGACCTGGCCGCTCCAGACGGGCTTCAGTTAGACCTGGCCGCTCCAGACGGCCTACAGTTAGACCTGGCCGCTCCAGACGGGCTAAAGTTAGACCTGGCCGCTCCAGACGGGCTACAGTTAGACCTGGCCGCTCCAGACGGCCTACAGTTAGACCTGGCCGCTCCAAACAGGCTAAAGTTAGACCTGGCCGCTCCAGACGGCCTACAGTTAGAGCTGGCCGCTCCAGACGGGCTGAAGTTAGACCTGGCCGCTCCAGACGGGCTACAGTTAGACCTGCCCGCTCCAGACGGCCTACAGTTAGACCTGCCCGCTCCAGACGGGCTAAAGTTAGACCTGGCCGCTCCAGACGGGCTACAGTTAGACCTGGCCGCTCCAGACGGGCTGAAGTTAGACCTGGCCGCTCCAGACGGGCTGAAGTTAGACCTGGCCGCTCCAGACGGGCTGAAGTTAGACCTGGCCGCTCCAGACGGGCTAAAGTTAGCCTTGGCCGCTCCAGACGGGCTAAAATTAGCCTTGGCCGCTCCAGACGGGCTACAGTTAGACCTGGCCGCTCCAGACGGCCTACAGTTAGACCTGGCCGCTCCAGACAGGCTAAAGTTAGACCTGGCCGCTCCAGACGGCCTACAGTTAGAGCTGGCCGCTCCAGACGGGCTGAAGTTAGACCTGGCCGCTCCAGACGGGCTACAGTTAGACCTGCCCGCTCCAGACGGCCTACAGTTAGACCTGGCCGCTCCAGACGGCCTACAGTTAGACCTGGCCGCTCCAGACGGGCTACAGTTAGACCTGGCCGCTCCAGACGGGCTACAGTTAGACCTGGCCGCTCCAGACGGGCTACAGTTAGACCTGGCCGCTCCAGACGGCCTACAGTTAGACCTGGCCGCTCCAGACGGGCTACAGTTAGACCTGGCCGCTCCAGACGGGCTACAGTTAGACCTGGCCGCTCCAGACGGGCTACAGTTAGACCTGGCCGCTCCAGACGGCCTACAGTTAGACCTGGCCGCTCCAGACGGCCTACAGTTAGACCTGGCCGCTCCAGACGGGCTACAGTTAGACCTGGCCGCTCCAGACGGCCTACAGTTAGACCTGGCCGCTCCAGACGGGCTACAGTTAGACCTGGCCGCTCCAGACGGGCTACAGTTAGACCTGGCCGCTCCAGACGGGCTACAGTTAGACCTGGCCGCTCCAGACGGCCTACAGTTAGACCTGGCCGCTCCAGACGGGCTAAAGTTAGACCTGGCCGCTCCAGACGGGCTACAGTTAGACCTGGCCGCTCCAGACGGGCTACAGTTAGACCTGGCCGCTCCAGACGGGCTAAAGTTAGACCTGGCCGCTCCAGACGGGCTACAGTTAGACCTGGCCGCTCCAGACGGGCTACAGTTAGACCTGGCCGCTCCAGACGGGCTACAGTTAGACCTGGCCGCTCCAGACGGGCTACAGTTAGACCTGGCCGCTCCAGACGGGCTAAAGTTAGACCTGGCCGCTCCAGACGGGCTACAGTTAGACCTGGCCGCTCCAGACGGGCTACAGTTAGACCTGGCCGCTCCAGACGGGCTACAGTTAGACCTGGCCGCTCCAGACGGGCTTCAGTTAGACCTGGCCGCTCCAGACGGCCTACAGTTAGACCTGGCCGCTCCAGACGGGCTAAAGTTAGACCTGGCCGCTCCAGACGGGCTACAGTTAGACCTGGCCGCTCCAGACGGCCTACAGTTAGACCTGGCCGCTCCAGACAGGCTAAAGTTAGACCTGGCCGCTCCAGACGGCCTACAGTTAGAGCTGGCCGCTCCAGACGGGCTGAAGTTAGACCTGGCCGCTCCAGACGGGCTACAGTTAGACCTGCCCGCTCCAGACGGCCTACAGTTAGACCTGCCCGCTCCAGACGGGCTAAAGTTAGACCTGGCCGCTCCAGACGGGCTACAGTTAGACCTGGCCGCTCCAGACGGGCTGAAGTTAGACCTGGCCGCTCCAGACGGGCTGAAGTTAGACCTGGCCGCTCCAGACGGGCTGAAGTTAGACCTGGCCGCTCCAGACGGGCTAAAGTTAGCCTTGGCCGCTCCAGACGGGCTAAAATTAGCCTTGGCCGCTCCAGACGGGCTAAAGTTAGACCTGCCCACTCCAGACGGCCTACAGTTAGACCTGGCCGCTCCAGACGGGCTAAAGTTAGACCTGGCCGCTCCAGACGGGCTACAGTTAGACCTGGCCGCTCCAGACGGCCTACAGTTAGACCTGGCCGCTCCAGACGGCCTACAGTTAGACCTGGCCGCTCCAGACGGGGTAAAGTTAGCCCTGGCCGCTCCAGACGGGCTAAAGTTAGACCTGGCCGCTCCAGACGGGCTAAAGTTAGACCTGGCCGCTCCAGACGGGCTAAAGTTAGACCTGGCCGCTCCAGACGGCCTACAGTTAGACCTGGCCGCTCCAGACGGGCTAAAGTTAGACCTGGCCGCTCCAGACGGGCTACAGTTAGACCTGGCCGCTCCAGACGGCCTACAGTTAGACCTGGCCGCTCCAGACAGGCTAAAGTTAGACCTGGCCGCTGCAGACGGCCTACAGTTAGAGCTGGCCGCTCCAGACGGGCTGAAGTTAGACCTGGCTGCTCCAGACGGGCTACAGTTAGACCTGCCCGCTCCAGACGGCCTACAGTTAGACCTGGCCGCTCAGACGGGCTACAGTTAGACCTGGCCGCTCCAGACGGGCTGAAGTTAGACCTGGCCGCTCCAGACGGGCTGAAGTTAGACCTGGCCGCTCCAGACGGGCTGAAGTTAGACCTGGCCGCTCCAGACGGGCTGAAGTTAGACCTGGCCGCTCCAGACGGGCTAAAGTTAGCCTTGGCCACTCCAGACGGGCTAAAGTTAGACCTGCCCGCTCCAGACGGCCTACAGTTAGACCTGGCCGCTCCAGACGGGCTAAAGTTAGACCTGGCCGCTCCAGACGGGCTACAGTTAGACCTGGCCGCTCCAGACGGCCTACAGTTAGACCTGGCCGCTCCAGACGGGCTAAAGTTAGACCTGGCCGCTCCAGACGGGCTTCAGTTAGACCTGGCCACTCCAGACGGCCTACAGTTAGACCTGGCCGCTCCAGACGGGCTAAAGTTAGACCTGGCCGCTCCAGACGGGCTACAGTTAGACCTGGCCGCTCCAGACGGCCTACAGTTAGACCTGGCCGCTCCAGACAGGCTAAAGTTAGACCTGGCCGCTCCAGACGGCCTACAGTTAGAGCTGGCCGCTCCAGACAGGCTAAAGTTAGACCCGGCCGCTCCAGACGGGCTGAAGTTAGACCTGGCCGCTCCAGACGGGCTAAAGTTAGACCTGGCCGCTCCAGACGGGCTACAGTTAGACCTGACCGCTCCAGACGGGCTACAGTTAGACCTGACCGCTCCAGACGGGCTACAGTTAGACCTGGCCGCTCCAGACGGGCTACAGTTAGACCTGGCCGCTCCAGACGGCCTACAGTTAGACCTGGCCGCTCCAGACGGCCTACAGTTAGACCTGGCCGCTCCAGACGGGCTAAAGTTAGACCTGGCCGCTCCAGACGGGCTAAAGTTAGACCTGGCCGCTCCAGACGGGCTAAAGTTAGACCCGGCTGCTCCAGACGGGCTAAAGTTAGACCTGGCCGCTCCAGACGGGCTGAAGTTAGACCTGGCTGCCATTGGCCTCGAAGGTCCTTGTACTTTGTGAATTGGAACGGTACTAGGGCTGAGGCTGATGACGTTTCACGAGGACACATATTGAGAAAAGGCCAATGAGTTGATGCAATCAACTGGTTTTCTTTAAATAGAAAACTTACAATCAATCTGACTCTCGTGACCTGGAAAGTGACCTGAGATGACGTGTTGTGAACTGACGCTATAGAAATTGATCAATGATTAGCTAGAAAACCGTTATATCGTTCTAGAAATCAGGTTCAGATTGGATTTAGATCAGACAAACGCACCCAGCCAATGCCAGCAGATATTTTGGGCACTGTTTTTTGGGGGGAGGAGCTTAAAGGTTTGCCCCTCCCCCAAAAAAACAGTGCTTCCAAATTCACCCTGTTTTAATTCACTTCACTTTATCCATCGAAACCTTTTATCGTGTCAGAACGCGGAACCTCACAGGGTTCTGTAGCACAAACGGATCAGAACTTTACCTGCTGAGGCGCTTCTGTTGCAGATCTACTTTTACTGGCTGTGTCCTGAGACTCAGGCCTTCGAATGGTTCGCCGACCTGCTGCAGTCGCTGGAGCGTCAGATGGCGGACAAAGACATGGCCGACTTCCTCAGCTACAACATCTACCTGACCCGCTGGAAGGAGACGGAGGTGCCTGACGGAGCAAAACATTATGACCATCTGTCGATGGCTCAAAACTTTGGACGCTTTTTTTGGTCATCTTTTGCTGAAGCATTTATTATTATTATTATTATTCTCAATCAGGCGGCTCATTTCCGCGTCCACCACGAGGCGGAGAACGACCCAATTACTGGGCTCAAACAGAAGACTCTTTACGGAAAGCCAAACTGGGACAACGAGTTCACCAACATCGCATCGAAGCACCCGAGGCGAGGCTCCCTGCTCTGAATCAGAAGCTTGGAAGTTGAGTATCAGACTCTGACGTTCTGGTTCTGTGCCTGCAGGTCCAAAGTAGGAGTGTTCCTCTGCGGTCCTCCTCAGCTCGGGAAGTCTCTGGAGAAACAGTGCCTCTCTCACTCCGAGGCCGACGTCAAGTTCATCTTCAACAAGGAGAACTTCTGAAAACCTCCGCCACACCACAGTGTTGCAAACATGTTGCCTAAACTCAAAAAGCAAAGAAAACCATCCAGACTGCTTCTCCTTCTCCTTAGAGCTTATTCTAAACTTCCCTTTTCGCCTCTTTTGCTTAAGTTTCTCAGTTTGAAGCAGAAGTGACCCTCAGGTGGTGTAACTAACGCTTCAGGAGGGCACAGATGCTCCTGCTGCAGCTGCAAACGCAGCAGACGTCATGGAACAGACAAAAGAGAGGCTTTTATTCTGAAAAGCTTCTTTGAAACCCACTGATCTCCATTTGCTCAGTGGATTGCTGATCGCCCGTCGGTAGTACGGGGTTGAAGTGAAGCCACCGGCCACCATATTGGTACTCCCGGTCTCAATGTGAACAGTCTGTGAGCTACAGCATCGAACAACGATGATGTTTTCATTTTCAGGGGGACTTAAGACTTTGAAAATAAAGAAAAATTCATCACTTTGACACAGATTGGCTGTTTAACTTAGAATAAAAAAATAGGCCCATCAAAATGTATAGTCATTATGAAGTCTATAAATCATTTAATATAACATATTATACAAAATCATAATAAAATGAATGTGTTAATAGAAAATAATAATATAGATGTGCTAAAAGTGTTAAATTGATGATGTACATGTATTTATGACATTGTTAAAATTCAATGTAACCTGCAATATATTTCAGCAAATCACCTTTTCAAATGAGAAAAACAACAAACACTCCAAAAACGACATCATCATCTGCATCATAAAGAATTAGTATGTTGACATTTCACAGAGAATTACTTTCTATTTCCTCTTTTTATTTTTTAACGTTAGACCCAATGTCTGTGTCTAACTCAGTCAATGTCTTCCAGTCAGTCTGAGATAGCCAGACTAATGTTAGTTTGCAGACTAAACTATAGGATCCATCGGCTATAGATGGATTTATTGCTTAGTTCTTCCACTGACTGGGAAATTATCTGGAACGTCTTCCTGCAGGAGAAAACTGCTGGTTTTTGTAGCCAAATGTTACACATGTAGGCATTGTTACTGCACGTCTCCATGGGAGAGGGGAGTACCAAGATGGCGGACTGTGACTTCACTTTTTTTCAGGCAATCAGCATCCAGTGAATAAATAGAGATGAGTGGTGAAACCTTCCAGCTCACAGCTGACGACAAACATGTAAATAATGTGAATATTCTCAGAAAACAACCTGAAAAGTACAAAGTTGATGCATGCTGATTATCTTCCTGGTTAAACTTGATGTTTTTATTTTTAAAGATAAAAAAAAAATCATCTAAACATTCTGAGATGTTTGAAGATATTTAGAAGAATCCTTTTGCATTGAGTTAATTACTTGATTTCTTGTAAATAAAAGCTGAACATTGAGCAGAAAATTTGTTTCTAAACCTGCAGCTCTGCTTGGATTTTCCTGATATTTGCAGATTAACTTCCTGAAGGTAAAACTGTTGTTAGCAGAGAAGCTAGAGAAAAATATGCGGACCAGTGAAAGAGCTGCTGTCCCGTAGCTTATTGCTCACTTTACATCACACTGGAAAAAACTGAAATCTAGATAAATATTTTTTCTTAAAATAAGTGCTTTTGTTCTTGGATTGAGGAGGTAAAAGATAAATTTTGCCAATGGAACAAAATTTCCACTTCAAATAAGAAAACACAATCCCATTGTCTTATTTCATATCATCTAATTGTCTTATTTTAAGAGTAAAATTACTCATTCCATTGGCAACTATCTCATTTACCTACTCAAATTAAGGGTAAATACATTTATTTTAAGAAATTTTTACTTATTTCTAGATCATTTTTCCAGTGCACCTGTTTGGGTCCAAAGCAGGGGCCCTACAGTTCAGGAAGTGGCCACATTTGGCCCCCAGAGCAGCCACCAGCTGCAGACGGGGCCTTTCCATTAATTAGTCTGCATTTTTACTGATACAATGAAATAAAACGTGGTTTTCATAATTTTAAGAAGTGTACAAACCATACAACTATTTATAAATATGTTTTAATAAAGTCAGTTTGTAAATATTGAGCAAAAATAGTTTTATCTTAAAAAAGCCACATATGTTCAAAAGTTCTAAGCAAAGCTACAATAAAATTTAAAAAAAAAGGATATTTTGTACACTTGTTAAAATGTTGACAACTGTAAACAATCCCTAAAAGGAAAATGAAGTAAGGAAGCATTCATGGTTTAATACTCAGACTTTTGTTTTTAGATCATGTTACAAAGAACCAAACAAAAGTCAGATTCTAATAAATGGAGCCAATTAAAGCAAATGTTTTTAAATAGACTCAAATCCTGCTGCTGTTTTAGTGAAAACAGGAAAAAAATAAATTAGTCTTAAAGCTCCAGAAACTGTCTTTCTTTATCTAAAAACATTTCCCTTCACATGGACTGTTCTAAAATATTGGAGCATTTTAGGGTTGAGTAGAAAAGAGAAAAATCCAGCATATTGGAAAGAGAAATCAGAGCTTTGTGACTCGTGGGGAATTTGGACTGGATGGTTTTGGACACAACTGATACCAACCAAATCCCCATAATCAACAGTGAAGCACGGTGGTGGCTGCATCATGACTAGTTTAAGATGTATAAAATAACATGTTTGGTTCACAAACAGAAATTATAAAGTCAATCTGTTACCCCGACTAATGCTCCATGAAGCGTGGTGGTGGCAGCATCATGCTGTGGGGAAAAGACAGCAGCCGAACAAGTTTGGTCTAAACCCTAAGAGGAAATGACTGTCAGGAGCAACTGGACCAGAAGAATCTGAGACCAGAAACTCCTTCAGTCTGAGATCCGGAGAAGTTTCTCAGATCAGATTTTATTTTTTGAGCAGTAAAATGAGAAGAATAAAGTCATAAATTACAGGAATATGGCGTGCTTCAATGGTGCAGTGCTTTGCTACGTCTCTCCCTCTCTCATACCACCTTTTCTGCCAGTCTACTGTCCAAAAAAAGAGCCACTAGTGCGAAAAAACTAAAAAAAAAATAATTATGAGAATAAAGACACATTTTATGACAACTACAAGACGCACAGTAAAAATGAATCACTTCAACAATAATCTGACACATCAAGGCAACACGTGTCCAGAATTTGTTCCCCAGGACGAAGGTTCGGTACGACAGTATTAGGGCCAGGCTAGATGTATATATATTTTTTTTTTATTTCGAAAGTAAAGTTGTAAAACTACGAGAGCAAAGTCGTAAAATTCGGAGAATACGGTTGCATTTTATGACCGTCAGGGTTTGGTTGAGGTTCTGAGGACCCAAATGCAGGCGAGGAGGCAGAGGTGATTTAATTGAATAATTGAGACAAAAATCCAAAAATCTAAGAAAAAAATACATGGAACGAAAAAGCAGACAACTTAATGGGAAATAACTCACCTGTAGAACAAAGAAAAGACGAGGAACCAGCAGTGAGGAACTGCACAGGGAGAGTATATATGGGAGACTGAACAAAGACGGGACTGATGAGCTGATTGGGAGCAGCTGTGAACAGAGGAGTCTAGAAGGGAGCTAGAGAAATGGACACAAGAGGGCAGCAAAGGCAACGTTCACACTGCAGCCTTAAGTCCCCCAACTCTTTTTTGGCCCATATGCAACCTGTATTCGATCTTTTCATGGCAGTCTGAACAACGAAGATACAATTTTTCCAATGCGACCCAGTCCACTTGGCGATGTGGTCCTGAATCCGATGCGAATCTGATATTTTTAAATGCGACCCGAACGGCCATTCGTCCGACCTGAACGCCATTAATACCCGACAAACATCACTATTCTGCGTCTTGCTACGCAGAAGCGGCCAGAAAAGCAACAAACATGGCAGACGACGATGCAGAGAGCAGAATTCTTGTTTAAACATCTTGAAAAGATTGTGTGCTTAAGGTTGGGAAAGATCGCTAGATTAACGCAGTTCACACAGGAGATCACATACAAGTCACATATATTTGGAAATGTCAACCAGAACGCAAAAAAACGGATTCCACAAAAAAATCGGAGTTGAGCATCAATCCCTCAATGTGAACGAATCCTAAAAAAACATCCAGAAAACACCACAAAATAGGAATCAGACCAATAAAACTAGAAAACAAAGAAAAACAGGCATCAAAGTGAAACTGAAAACTTAACGGAACCAAAACCGTAACAATGACGACTCATACAAGAAGCACTTTCTTCCCTAAAATGAGGAATGTGGAGCAACATGGGAAGTTATACTTTAGCATCGGTTTGACTAATCAGGAAATGTTTTATCAAACTGGGCAGGACGTCAAAGCTGGTCGGAGCTCGAAGCTTTCCCTCTGAAACAGGTCGCGGTTTGATGACTTCATTCTCATTATTATTCAACTTTATCCTCAAAATAAAAATAATCTCTATCGCGGCCCTAATAGTTCTTCGTAGTTTGGAAACCCCAAAATAAAGGCTTTGATCTGATTCTACCAACCAGAGCAGGATTTTTCTTCTTCTTGAGGAATAAATTCAGTTTAATGTCAACATAAATAAATCAGATTTTCTGCAGACAGATAACGGATGGGGCCTTCAGGAATTCACGTCTATGTTTTATAAACACCGTTGCCATGGAAACTTTAGGATGCAGATTGAAAACATCTGAAAAATCAAACGACTGTCATTAAACCAAAATCATAAAAATGATTCTGCATAAAAAAACAAAACCTCCCATTTGGTCCAGAACTTTGTTTATTTAGCAGCAGCTTTTATATAAAAACATCCTTCCTACATGATACAGCTGCAGCTTTAGATACAGAAGCTTGTCGTCTGGCTCCCCCTGCTGCTCGGATCGCCGCATTGCAGCTCCTCGACCTCTAAGCGATGGAGACGGCGAAGACGCTGACCACACAGTACATGGTCCGGTTCTCCCACCTCACGGTGCAGCTTCCTGCAGGGCGAACAGAAACAACCTGAATCCAGATGTTTTATTAAACCATTTTAATAGAACTCTATTGGCTTCGAAACTTACGGTTTTTAATCTTTCCATTTTAAATCTCAAATCATTTTTTAGGCATTTTAAAATGAAAATATTGGAATTTTTGCTCACTAGCTTCCAGGTCATGTGATCATTTCACTACAAATCAGTCCAACTTCAAATCTTTAATATCTTATAATTCATTTTTATTTCGGACTCAGAATCTTATTTGTTTTTGCATTTCAAGTCTCTTAATAGTTTTTAAATAATATTTATGTGTAAATATTGGTAGTTTTGTGATGGGTTGACACAAAATCTATAATGATCATGTTAATGGATTAAAAAGAATGGAAGTTGCATTTTTTCCCTCTTTTACGCTCAAATTTAAGCCCAGATTCCAAACATTTTCAGTTTTTAATGGCCTAAAGGTGATGAATTTGCAGCTTCTCAGAGAGCCTGAAGGATGAAACGCTGTGAAGCGGGGGAGGAGCTCACCGTCCATGCTGGTGTCCCAGTAACAGGAGTTGGCGGTGTGGAGGCCGGCGCCGGTTTTCTGCATCACGGAGCACGTTACTGCAAACATAAACCCACAGTTAGCTCCAAAAAACCCATCTGCTTCTCTTCATTGGCTTCCTGTTAGACCCAGAATAGAATTTAAAATCCTCCTTCTCACATATAAAGCCTTAAATGGCCAAGCTCCATCTTATATCAGAGATCTGATTGTTCCTTATGTTCCTAACAGAGCACTTCGCTCTCAATCTGCAGGTTTACTAGTGGTTCCTAGAATTTCTAAAAGTAGAATGGGAGGCAGATCTTTTAGTTCTCAGGCTCCTCTCCTGTGGAACCAACTACCAGTTTTAGTCCGTGAGGCAGACACCCTGTCTACTTTTAAGGCTAGGCTTAAAACTTTCCTTTTTGATAAAGCTTCTAGTCAGAGTGGCTCAGGTTATCCTGATCTATCTCTATAGTTCTGCTGCTATAGGCTTAGACTGCTGGAGGACATAGGGACCCCTTTTTCATCATTCTGCTTCATTCTATCTCTATTCTCCCACTCTGCAGAATCTGTTAGTTCAATCTCTAACGTTCTGCTCTCTCTGCTTTTTCTCATACACTGGAAAATAAAAAATCTAAATCCAGATAAGTCATTATTTCCTAAAATAAATGCAAAATTGTTCTTGAACTGAGAATGTAAAAGATACATTTTGCCAATGGAACAAGACAATTTACATTTAAAGGTACACTATGCAACCGGTGTTGATTTTCCAGCGAGGCTCCCCCAGAGGGCGGAAGTAAAAGTGCACTGTCGTAAATATGCTCAGCTGTTCTCCTGGTTTCTCCGTCAAGCCAGGCGTGGTTGTTTTGAGCTTAGCAGACAGGCGAACGCAAGTGACTATTTTGTTCCAATTTTCGAGTTTGAAAATTTAGCATGTTTTCATACATTATTTGTTATGAATGTGTCTAAATAACAAAGACTGTAGTTAGCCAAGGTCTCGCCGTAAAGCAAGACCGACTCTGGCGATGCACGAGACTTCTGAGCCTGTGGGTGCGGGCCGAGGACTCCTGCAATTGCAAGTGCGGTATTTCCCCTACAGACCACCAGGGCGGCCGAGAAAACCTTTGTTCGACCTGAAATGGCTCATTTAATCATCCAAATTGTTATGGAACACATTAATTAACTGAAAAATGTTGCATAGTATGCCTTTAAATGAGAAAACACAAATGCATTGTCTTATTTCAAATACATATTATTTAATTATCTTATTTAAAGAGTAAAAATACTCATTCCATTGGCAAACTATCTCATTCACCTACTTAAATTAAGGATAAATACACTTAGTTTAAGAGATTTTTTACTAATTTCCAGATCGTTTATCCAGTGTAGTACTTTGCCTCGTCTGTTCCTGTTTGGCTGTGACTCCATCCTGGAGAGAAATATCAGCTGTGCTGCTGCCATCAACACCTTTGTTTCTAGATGTTGGAGCTTGGCCTGTTTTCCAGTGTAGTCCTGTTTCTCTGTGACTAACTGGATGTGCTCTCTTCATCCTCTGACATGGGAGCTGGCTCGGAGCTCGTCTGCCTGGCTGTGTGTTTCCTGGACGGGGCCGCCTGTGGAGCTGGTTGACAGTTGCCTTTTGTATCTATGCTTCTTTTTCTATGTCTGCTTCTGTCTCCTTGAACCCCAGTGGGCCTCAGCAGATGGCCGCTCACACTGAGCCTGGTTCTGCTGGAGGTTTCTTCCTGTTCAAAGGGAGTTTTTCCTCTCCACTGTCGCTACAAGCATGCTTAGTGTGAGGGATTGCTGAAGAGTCAATGAGTCGATGCAATCAGCTGGTTTTCCTTAGATAGAAAACTTTGAATCAATCTGACTGGATGATCTGGTGAACTGGAAAGTGACCTGAGATGACATGATGTGAATTGGAGCTATAGAAATAAACTGAATAGAATGAAACTAGCAGGTAGGCCGTACCAATGTATTTGTAGGGTTTGCCCAGTTTGACGAACTGAGTGAGGCAGCGCTCCACGATGGCGGCGGTCCATTTGTTCACTTGGTTCTGGCTGTAGTCGTCTCCTCCCAGCACGCTCTCGATGCCCTGAAACAGAAACGGCGGTGTGATCAGTCATGTGGGAGTCAGGGGGGGGCGGCAATCAGGTACAACAACAAGAGCTGATTTATGCTGCAACAATCCTGGATTCGCCCCCTCGGGTCGGACGTTTGCTTCTTCTGATGCTGAACTTAGTTTACAGGGAAAAGTTTTCTTTAGTTTTGAATTTAAATAAACTTTCTAATCCTGTTAGTCGTGTCTGTGACCATCAATGATTTAATAAAAGCTTTCCTTGTTTAAAGATGAAACAAAAACCTTTAAATGTCCTTTAACCATTAGATCTTCAAACTCCTGAATACAAAGAAAGCTTTGATTAAAGTTAGAGGAAAATATGACCAAGTTCTATTTTTAAGATTGCATTTAAACTGTAAACTAAATATAAACTATCAGCTGTTTAACCGCCTTAAGCCCGGCGGGCCCGGTAGAGGGCCCAACTGACACCTGCTGATGTTTATCTATTTATAGAAATGGCCAAAACACAGTCACATGGTGTTTAATCCACACACCTTTTAAATGGAGCTTTAAAATTTATGTTTTCACAAATGGAACAAACATGCTTCAAGTTATTCAGTCCAAATTTGCTTGATTTATAGTCAAAGTATGCATCTATTTGATAAAGCTTCTAGTTAGAGTGGCTCAGGTTATCCTGATCTACAGGTGCTGGTCATAAAATTAGAATATCATGAAAAAGTTGATTGATTTCAGTAATTCCATTTAAAAAGTGAAACTTGTATATTATATTCATACATTACATACAAACTCATATATTTCAGATGTTTATTTTGTTTAATTTTGATGATTACAAATGACAACAAATGAAAATCTCAAATTCATCATATCAGAAAATTAGAATATTGTGAAAAGGTTCAAAATTGATGGCCTCTGGTGCCACACTCTAATCAGCTAATTAACTCAAACCACCTGCAAAAGCCTTTAAATGGTCTTTCAGTCTAGTTCTATAGGCTACACAATCATGGGGAAGACTGCTGACTTGACAGTTGTCCAAAAGACGACCATCGACACCTTGCACAAGGAGGGCAAGACACAAAAGGTCATCGCTAAAGAGGCTGGCTGTTCACAGAGCTCAGTGTCCAAGCACATTAATAGAGAGGCGAAGGGAAGGAAAAGATGTGGTCGAAAAAAGTGTACAAGCAAGAGAGATAACCGCACCCTGGAGAGGATTGTGAAACAAAACCCATTCAAAAATGTGGGGGAGATTCACAAAGAGTGGACTGCAGCTGGAGTGAGTGCTTCAAGAACCACCACACACAGACGTATGAAAGACATGGGTTTCTGCTGTCGCATTCCTTGTGTCAAGCCACTCTTGAACCACAGACAGCGTCAGAAGCGTCTAAAGAGAAACAGGACTGGACTGCTGGTGAGTGGTCCAAAGTCATGTTCTCTGATGAAAGTAAATTTTGCATTTCCTTTGGAAATCAAGGTCCCAGAGTCTGGAGGAAAAGAAGAGAGGCACTTCATCCACGTTGCTTGAAGTCCAGTGTAAAGTTTCCACAGTCAGTGATGGTTTGGGGTGCCATGTCATCTGCTGGTGTTGGTCCATTGTGTTTTCTGAGGTCCAGGGTCAACGCAGCCACATACCAGGAAGTTTTAGAGCACTTCATGCTTCCTGCAGCTGACCAACTTTTTGGAGATGCAGATTTCATTTTCCAACAGGACTTGGCACCTGCACACAGTGCCAAAGCTACCAGTACCTGGTTGAAGGACCATGGTATCCCTGTTCTTAATTGGCCAGCAAACTCTCCTGACCTTAACCCCATAGAAAATCTATGGGGTATTGTGAAGAAGAAGATGCAATACACCAGACCCAACAATTCAGAAGAGCTAAAAGCCACTATTAGAGCAACCTGGGCTATCATAACACCTGAGCAGTGCCACAGACTGATCGACTCCATGCCACGCCGCATTGCTGCAGTAATACAGGCCAAAGGAGGCCCAACTAAATACTGAGTGCTGTACATGCTCATACTTTTCATGTTCATACTTTTCAGTTGGCCAACATTTCTATAAATCCTTTGTTTTTATTGGTCTTCAGTAATATTCTAATTTTCTGATATGATGAATTTGAGATTTTCATTTGTTGTCATCTGTAATCATCAAAATTAAACAAAATAAACATCTGAAATATATGAGTTTGTATGTAATGTATGAATATAATATACAAGTTTCACTTTTTAAATGGAATTACTGAAATCAATCTACTTTTTCATGATATTCTAATTTTATGACCAGCACCTGTATCTCTATAGTTCTGCTGCTATAGGCTTAGACTGCTGGAGGACATAGGGACCCCTTTTTCATCATTCTATCTCTATTCTCCCACTCCCAATTTGCTTGACTTATAGTCAAGATGTGAATCTATAAAGTCAGAGTTTCAAACAGGGTTTCATGGTGTTTTGCAGCGTTTATTTTAGAAAAAAAATTAGCGAGGCTAAATATTTTTCATTTTTTTTCTCCTTTGTTTAATCACCTAAAAAAATCAGACATGGTAACATTTAAAATAGCTGTTCCACCTGAAAAATATTCCTCAATGCCTTTCTGTCACACAAATACAAACAATTGTATTTCCAATTTATAGTTTGGGAGCTGGACTTACTTTAATTCACAGATGTTATATCAGCTGGAATATTCCTCTTGGTTTAAGTGGTTAATGCTTTACAAGAATTAAACTAATCTCAGAATTCTGACTTTTCTATCGCAGAATTATGACTTTTCTATCGCATAATTCTGACTTTTTTTCGCAGAATTCTGACTTTTTTTTTGCAGAATTCTGACTTTTTTTTCCCGCAGAATTGTAACTTTTTTTGCTGAATTCTGACTTTTTTTCCCCTCTGAATTCTGACTTTTTTTCCCCTCTGAATTCTGACTTTTTTTCCCTCTGAATTCTGACTTTTTTTTCTCTGAATTCTGACTTTTTCTCTGAATTCTGACTTTTTTTCCCTCTGAATTCTGACTTTTTTTTCTCGGAATTCTGACTTTTTTTCCCTCTGAATTCTGACTTTTTTTTCTCTGAATTCTGACTTTTTTTTCTCTGAATTCTGACTTTTTTTCCCTCTGAATTCTGACTTTTTTTTCTCGGAATTCTGACTTTTTTTCCCTCTGAATTCTGACTTTTTTTTCTCTGAATTCTGACTTTTTTTCCTCTGAATTCTGACTTTTTTTCCCTCTGAATTCTGACTTTTTTTTCCTCTGAATTCTGACTTTTTTTTTTCGGAATTCTGACTTTTTTTCCCTCTGAATTCTGACTTTTTTTTCTCTGAATTCTGACTTTTTTTTCTCTGAATTCTGACTTTTTTTCCCTCTGAATTCTGACTTTTTTTTCTCAGAATTCTGACTTTTTTTCCCTCTGAATTCTGACTTTTTTTTCTCTGAATTCTGACTTTTTTTCCTCTGAATTCTGACTTTTTTTTCTCTGAATTCTGACTTTTTTTCCCTCTGAATTCTGACTTTTTTTTCTCGGAATTCTTACTTTTTTCCCTCTGAATTCTGACTTTTTTTTCTCTGAATTCTGACTTTTTTTTCTCTGAATTCTGACTTTTTTTTTCTCTGAATTCTGACTTTTTTTTCTCGGAATTCTGACTTTTTTTCCTCTGAATTCTGACTTTTTTTCACCTCGGAATTCTGACTTTTTTCTCTCGGAATTCTGACTTTTTTTCCCTCAGAATTCTGACTTTTTTTCTCGGAAAAAATCAGACATGGTAACATTTAAAATAGCTGTTCCACCTGAAAAATATTCCTCAATGCCTTTCTGTCACACAAATACAAACAATTGTATTTCCAATTTATAGTTTGGGAGCTGGACTTACTTTAATTCACAGATGTTATATCAGCTGGAATATTCCTCTTGGTTTAAGTGGTTAATGCTTTACAAGAATTAAACTAATCTCAGAATTCTGACTTTTCTATCGCAGAATTATGACTTTTCTATCGCATAATTCTGACTTTTTTTCGCAGAATTCTGACTTTTTTTTTTGCAGAATTCTGACTTTTTTTCCCCGCAGAATTGTAACTTTTTTTGCTGAATTCTGACTTTTTTTCCCCTCTGAATTCTGACTTTTTTTCCCCTCTGAATTCTGACTTTTTTTTCCCTCTGAATTCTGACTTTTTTTCCCTCTGAATTCTGACTTTTTTTTCTCTGAATTCTGACTTTTTCTCTGAATTCTGACTTTTTTTCCCTCTGAATTCTGACTTTTTTTTCTCGGAATTCTGACTTTTTTTCCCTCTGAATTCTGACTTTTTTTTCTCTGAATTCTGACTTTTTTTCCTCTGAATTCTGACTTTTTTTTCTCTGAATTCTGACTTTTTTCCCTCTGAATTCTGACTTTTTTTTCTCGGAATTCTTACTTTTTTCCCTCTGAATTCTGACTTTTTTTTCTCTGAATTCTGACTTTTTTTTCTCTGAATTCTGACTTTTTTTTTCTCTGAATTCTGACTTTTTTTTCTCGGAATTCTGACTTTTTTTCCTCTGAATTCTGACTTTTTTTCACCTCGGAATTCTGACTTTTTTCTCTCGGAATTCTGACTTTTTTTCCCTCAGAATTCTGACTTTTTTTCTCGGAAAAAATCAGACATGGTAACATTTAAAATAGCTGTTCCACCTGAAAAATATTCCTCAATGCCTTTCTGTCACACAAATACAAACAATTGTATTTCCAATTTATAGTTTGGGAGCTGGACTTACTTTAATTCACAGATGTTATATCAGCTGGAATATTCCTCTTGGTTTAAGTGGTTAATGCTTTACAAGAATTAAACTAATCTCAGAATTCTGACTTTTCTATCGCAGAATTATGACTTTTCTATCGCATAATTCTGACTTTTTTTCGCAGAATTCTGACTTTTTTTTTTGCAGAATTCTGACTTTTTTTCCCCGCAGAATTGTAACTTTTTTTGCTGAATTCTGACTTTTTTTCCCCTCTGAATTCTGACTTTTTTTCCCCTCTGAATTCTGACTTTTTTTTCCCTCTGAATTCTGACTTTTTTTCCCTCTGAATTCTGACTTTTTTTTCTCTGAATTCTAACTTTTTCTCTGAATTCTGACTTTTTTTCCCTCTGAATTCTGACTTTTTTTTCTCGGAATTCTGACTTTTTTTCCCTCTGAATTCTGACTTTTTTTTCTCTGAATTCTGACTTTTTTTCCTCTGAATTCTGACTTTTTTTTCTCTGAATTCTGACTTTTTTTCCCTCTGAATTCTGACTTTTTTTTCTCGGAATTCTTGCTTTTTTCCCTCTGAATTCTGACTTTTTTTTCTCTGAATTCTGACTTTTTTTTCTCTGAATTCTGACTTTTTTTTTCTCTGAATTCTGACTTTTTTTTCTCGGAATTCTGACTTTTTTTCCTCTGAATTCTGACTTTTTTTCACCTCGGAATTCTGACTTTTTTCTCTCGGAATTCTGACTTTTTTTCCCTCAGAATTCTGACTTTTTTTCTCGGAAAAAATCAGACATGGTAACATTTAAAATAGCTGTTCCACCTGAAAAATATTCCTCAATGCCTTTCTGTCACACAAATACAAACAATTGTATTTCCAATTTATAGTTTGGGAGCTGGACTTACTTTAATTCACAGATGTTATATCAGCTGGAATATTCCTCTTGGTTTAAGTGGTTAATGCTTTACAAGAATTAAACTAATCTCAGAATTCTGACTTTTCTATCGCAGAATTATGACTTTTCTATCGCATAATTCTGACTTTTTTTCGCAGAATTCTGACTTTTTTTTTTGCAGAATTCTGACTTTTTTTCCCCGCAGAATTGTAACTTTTTTTGCTGAATTCTGACTTTTTTTCCCCTCTGAATTCTGACTTTTTTTCCCCTCTGAATTCTGACTTTTTTTCCCCTCTGAATTCTGACTTTTTTTTCCCTCTGAATTCTGACTTTTTTTCCCTCTGAATTCTGACTTTTTTTTCTCTGAATTCTGACTTTTTCTCTGAATTCTGACTTTTTTTTCCCTCTGAATTCTGACTTTTTTTTCTCGGAATTCTGACTTTTTTTTCCTCCGAATTCTGACTTTTTTTCCTCTGAATTCTGACTTTTCTTCTCTGAATTCTGACTTTTTTTCCTCCGAATTCTGACTTTTTTTCCTCCGAATTCTGACTTTTTTCCCCCTCCGAATTCATACTTTTTTTCCCTCCGAATTCACTTTTTTTCCCTCTGAATTCTGACTTTTTTTCCCTCTGAATTCTGACTTTTTTTTCCTCTGAATTCGTACTTTTTTCCCCTCTGAATTCGTACTTTTTTTCCCTCTGAATTCTGACTTTTTTTCCCTCTGAATTCTGACTTTTTTTTCCTCTGAATTCTGACTTTTTTTCCCTCAGAATTCTGACTTTTTTTCCCTCAGAATTCTGACTTTTTTTCCCTCTGAATTCTGACTTTTTTTTCTCTGAATTCTGACTTTTTTTCCTCTGAATTCTGACTTTTTTTTCTCTGAATTCTGACTTTTTTTTCCCTCTTAATTCTGACTTTTTTTTCTCTGAATTCTTACTTTTTTCCCTCTGAATTCTGACTTTTTTTTCTCTGAATTCTGACTTTTTTTTCTCTGAATTCTGACTTTTTTTTTCTCTGAATTCTGACTTTTTTTTCTCGGAATTCTGACTTTTTTTCCTCTGAATTCTGACTTTTTTTCACCTCGGAATTCTGACTTTTTTCTCTCGGAATTCTGACTTTTTTTCCCTCGGAATTATGACTTTTTTTCTCGGAATTCTGACTTTTTTTTCTCAGAATTCTCACTTATTTCCTCTGAATTCTGACTTTAATCTTGTCACACTCAAACTTAAAATGCAGCAATAACAACAACAACAAAAAACATTTAATTTTCAGATGATTATTTTACAGCCATCTTGGACTTTATTCTTAGTCTTATGATTAACAAATTAAATAAAATTAAAGATGCAGAGAAGATAAACAGATTAAACTTTCAGTCAGGTTTAACAAATTTTAACCCTAAAACTGAGATTAATTGTAAGATTGCGAAATTATCAGTAATTATCCCTAAAAATCTGATAAGAAATGAAGTGTAAAGATTAACAAACACAAAAATAATCCCTTGTTGTTGCTTTTTAAATGATTTATTGAGTATTAAGTAAATAGCTTAAATGTATAAATACATAAATGTTTGTATATCGTGTAACAAAGGCAATTTCCCTCTGGGATTATAAAAGTATGTCTGATTCTGTGGATGATAGGAAGCAGTTTAACATCATGCTGATGTTTTTAGCTTTACCTCTTTAACGATGACTTCCGCCTCCTCTGAGTTAAATGAACCCTGAAAAAGATACCAGAAGATCAGCGGCTGTTAAATGTCATCAAACCGATGGAAACCTTTGCTTATTTTTATAAATAAAACATCCTGGAGGCAGGCAGCTCAGTCTGGGTGCAGGGAGCGGTTCTGTTAGCCTCCAGCTACCTTCCTCTTTCTAACCTCCATAAACCAGATAAAACATCGGTTTATAGTCTAACCTCGCTGCCGTTTTGATACTCCTCCATCCCGGCGGGCTCTCCTCGCTTCACGCCGCTTTCTGGCTCCGTTTACTCGGAGAAAACTGGATCAAGACCCGGCTGGGTGGAACAGTAAGGGAGTCTGGTCCAGACTTCCTGTTAGCTGCGACACTTAACAGACCTGAGGGGAGCTGCTGCCACCTGCTGGTGACTCCGGGAACTAACAATGCAAACGCCCGCATTATTTTGTCCTAACATTTAGTTTTTTTTTTATTATAAATTGTAGTTTTTAATATGAGTTATACGGCAGAGGATTAGGGCTACTGAAAAAGTAAAAAAAAATAACTGATTAAAAAAAAAAATTCAGTTTAATATGGGAAAAAAGTCAGAATTCTAACTTTAATCTCAGAATTGAGGATCTTAATGTAGATGGGCTCCATGAAGGCAGAGATGTGGAGCTCTCAGCTTCACTGACAAAGATGTGAGTTGTTTGAGATGAACAGGAACACATTGGTGGAAAATGATGGAATTAGGCGAGTTTTTCCATCCCTGAGGGTCCCTGCTGATGCTATTTGATTAATGGAAGAGCAGAAGGTGATTAAAACAAGAGAGCTAGTCTCTAAAACAGGCATGGCTACGGCTTGATGCTAACATGTTTGTTAGCTGGCAGAATTCTGAGAATAAAGTCAGAATTCTGAGAAAAAAAGTCGGAATTCTGAGAAAAAAAGTCAGAATTCTGGGTAAAAAAAAGTCAGAATTCTGGGGGGGAAAAAAATAAATTTTCTGTCTTTTTTCCCATAATAAACTGGTGTAATATTTTAAAATCATAATTTTTTTTTTCTTCAGTGGCCTTAATCCTCTTCTGTAGAGTTACACAAAATTACCGATAAGTTACACAGTTTTTAGATACATACTTTTCATTTTTGCTCATCTCTCAGCCGCACCTCTACATGTTTCTGTAGTTTTCTAGCTTTTTTACTCTGAATTTTAAGATCTAATATATATATAAAACAAAAATCTGTATTTGATATAAAATACAACAGAAATGCACAAACTGGTCAGTTTAAAACTAAAAACACGTTTAATATAATCCATCAGAAAACTAAAAAAAAAGTGAAAATGTTTTTAAATAAAAAAGGAATTAGAAAAAACCTTCTATAAAATCCCAAAGGAAATAAAAACAAGCAATTGAAGTATCAAAACTAGATTTTTTTTCATCAAACTGAATAAAATAAATATTCAACAAATTAACCTAAAAAAATGTTTTTTCTAGTTTAAAACTTGTGAAAAAAACAAAATCTCTGTAAAAATTACCTAACTAATTAATCATCCAAATTTATTCTAACCATTAACAGGTTTAATTGTAGACTAATAATTATTATTATTTTTACTTTATGTTTATTTGCTTTTTAAACAAACATGAACAAGAACACACATTGCTAAACATTCCTTGGCACAGATTATGTAACAGTGCATAACGGAGAGCAAGTAAAAGAAAATCCAGCATCCATGGAGCTGACTGATACAGAATGTAAAATGGGCAAATAAACTAGAAAGATGGACAGTTAATACATTATAACAGTCTGTGGGATTCAGTACAATTGGAAATAAATCTCTCTATAGGTAACCATCTCTTTACAAAAACATCAAACTTCAGTTGTAATTGGGCAGTTAAAGCCTCCATTCCATATACCTCCTTCACTTTCTGCTTCCACTGTGCCACCGTAGGAGGCAGTGCATTCCTCCATTTTATCGTTACCCTTTTTCTAGCAGTCATCAGTAGAATATGTAGTAAATACTTTTGATCTCTGGAGTACTTGTCCTCAGGATTTAGGTCCAAAAGAAACTGTCTCGGAGTGAACGGCACGTCAGTACCCAGAACCCTGTCTATCTCACTCTTTACCCCCCTCCACTAAGGAAGCATCATTGGGCCATCCCAGAATATGTGTAGGTGGTCGCCAATCCCTCCACATTTTCTCCAGCAGTGCATTGCAGCTGGGTTATCTACAAATTTAGAGATCACTAAGGGTGTCTTAAAGAACCTTGTCTTCATCTTCCAGTCAAATTCCTTCCAGGTGTTGCTATTAATACCCTTATGACATCCAATACATATTGTTTCCCATTCCCCATCCTCAATTATAGAGTTTAATTCCAGTTCCCATTTGCTTTTCACAATAAAAGTATTATCCGGTGTATCCAATAATACATTTTTATAGATATGGGAGACATGCTTTTTGCTGGGTAGCTGATATTTATTTACATTAATAAAGTAAGTTTCTATATTTGTTGGAGCATTTTTAATTGCATTCCAGTCTTCATGGTTTATGATGTAATGCCTTATCTGAAAAAACCTGAACATATCATTTTGGGGTATAAGGAATTTCTCTCGAAGATATGAAAATGGCTGTAAGCCACTGTCACAGAACAATTGGTCAATCACCCTTAGGCCTCTGTCTGCCCATCTTTTAAAAGTGGCATCTACTTTTGAAGGAGGGAAGTGTGGATTTCCCCAAATCTGCAGAGCTCGTGACAGAGCAGGTGCCCCTCTAATCCTCTTTTGGACCGCTGACCATATTTTTAAGATGTGCTTCACCCATACATTTTTTATTTCCAATTTCCTCTGAGATTGCTTGCTCAAAAACACTATAGAAGGTAGGGCTATGGTTGGCATACAGTTCTGCTCTATGCTTACCCATCCTGTTTCTGTATCATTGTTTATCCAAGCTACTACTGCTGTTAACTGTGCTGCCCAAAAATAGTACTTCATATTCGGGAGGTTGAGTCCACCCCTGTTTTTCCCAAGCATAAGTGATTTAAGCCTCACTCTTGGTCTCCTGTTTTGCCATATAAATTTGGATATAAGCCTATCCAGCATATTAAAGGCGGATGCTGGGATTCCAACCGGGAGAGACTGTAAGAGGAACAAGAATCTGGGAAATGATTCATTTTAACAACTTCTACTCTGCCCAAAAGGGATAGCGGTAGCACATCCCATCTCGTCAGTTCATTTCTAAATATTGAAAAAAGTTTTTTATAATTTGCCTGATAGAGCTGTGTTATTTGGGGAGTGAGCATAACCCCTAGATATCTGAAGCCCTGTTCAGATCTGCGGAAAGGAAACCATATCATCAAGCTGGCTAGGCCAAGTCCCAGATACCATCATTGCTTCTGATTTGCCATGATTAACTTTATAACCAGATACTATTCCATATTCGTGAAGGTTTTGTAGGAGAGCTGGGAGTGACTGGGGAGGATTTTCAATAAACAATAAAATATCGTCCGCATAGAGCGCTATTTTGTGTTGACATCCATTCTCTTCTTTTATTCCTGCTATGAGGGGGTTGCTTCTGATTAATTCTGCGAGGGGTTCAATGCTAAGAGCAAACAAAACTGGCGAAAGTGCATCCCCTTGCCTTGTCCCTCGTCCCAGACTGAAGAAATCAGAGCATCGGCCGTTAACTCTGAGTGTCGATCGAGGGTTCGCATAGAACACTCCAATCCAGCTTATGAAAGTTTCATTAAAGCCCATGTGAGCCAATGTTTCCTCCAAACATGTCCAGTCCAGTCTATCAAACGCTTTCTCAGCATCTAAGCTGAGAAGCATTGATGGAATCTTTCTCCTGGAAGCAATCCATTGTAGATTTAGAGCTCGCCTAACATTGTTAGTGCCATGCCGTCCAGTAATAAACCCGGTTTGGTCTGGTTTAACTAGTTTCCGGATGTATCTCTGTATTCTATTTGCCAGGATAGAAGTCAGGATTTTTAGATCTTGACAAAGCAAACTTATTGGGCGGTATCCCATACATTGAGTGGGGTCCATTTTTATGAATGACCGTAATGATGGCCTCTGACCAGGTTTTTGGGGAGTCCTTTTCATCCAGTGCATAGTTATACACCCGACATAGAATTGGAGCTAGTTCATTGACAAAAATTTTATAGTATTCCCCAGAGTATCCGTCCACCCCTGGGGATTTACTGTTTTTTTATTTGTTAATACTATCAATTATTTCCTGTATTGTTATAGGAGAACACAATCTATTAGCCTCCTCCGTTGTTAATCTACTCAATTGTATACTGTAGAATCCAAAAGTTTGGTTATTTTCACCCTTTTGCCTGTTAATTCTTGACTTTCATATAGTTTTTTATAATACGCAGCAAACGCCTCAGCTATTTCTTTCGGTTTAGAGGTAAGTCTGTTTGTATCAGGGTGTTTAATTTTCGGTACCACACGGTTAGATTGAGCTGTCTAATAATTAATTTTAACTATTCATTTTTATTAATTAATAAAATTTTTGCCACTTCAATGTAATATCCTCTGTTTTCCTATTGTGCTTTTTTCCTGTAGAAAACCAGGAATTATATGAATAAAAACATCCTGCCTCAATAATTCCTTATTATAATTCTATGGATAAAACCAGGAAACATTCTGAAGTAAACAATCAATAAGAGGATAGCAATTTTTGATCCTTTTAAAAATCCAGTTTTTGTTAAAGTTGTTGTTCAACATGTGATCCAGTCTTTGTTTGTTTTCTTACAGTAAAAATCCACTAATTTAGTGCTGATTTTCCTCTAAGGAGTAAAAACCACAGACGCTGTTAGTCTTTATATCAAAACTCTTTATTATAAAAACAATCTGATAGAAAAAAACAAAAAAAACAAGTTGGTTTGAAACGAGATCAACATGTCAGGATACACTGGAAAAACCATCTAGAAATAAGTCGAAATTCCTTAAATTAACTGTATTTACCCTTAATTTGAGTAGATAAATTAGATAGTTTGCCAATAAAATGTTGTATTTTTACTCTTAAAATAATATATTTAGATGAAATGAACTTGAAATAAGACAATGCAATAGTGTTTTCTTATTTTAAGTGTAAATTATCTTGTTCCATGGGCAAAATGTCTCTTTTTACCTCCTAAATTCAAGAACAAATGCACTCATTTTAAGAAATTTCCATTTTTTTCCAGTGTAGGAAACGGTCAAAGTGCAAAACGTGCTTCAGGATCAGGTCATAATAAATATTATCTGATAAAAACAGCCAAACACACACACACCCATATCCATTCTGCCATCGTAGTGAGGACCATGTGTTGACTTCCATTGATTTTCAGTCATTTTGCAGCCCTTTCTATGCATTAACCCTAAAACTAACCATTAGCAATGCAAACCTCACCCTGACCT